TATGTCTTCTGCAACGCATGTCTACTAATATTATCCCTTAAGATATTTATAAAGCGCTAACAATGTACGCAGTGCTTTATATAGTGCACGTTCACATCAGTCTCTGCCCTCAAGGAGCTTACAATCTAAGGTCGCTATCGCACACACATGCATGGGCTAATTTATACAGGAGCCAATTAACCTTCCAGCATGTCTTTAGAGTGTGGCGGGAGGGGGGCGCCACCGCAGTACATTGAGGAAACCCATGCAAGCGCAGAGAGAACATGCAAACTCCTTGCAGATAGTGTCCTGACTCGTTTGTTATATCTCTTTAAACACACAAGTACAGAAAATTAACTGCTTATGTGCCAAAAATATAGTGTGCTCCTACCTTCCTCTTTGTCATGACAACACAGTATATTTCTTAGCACGTGGTGTAAGCACTGCCTACTTCATTTATGATGGATTACAATTAGACCTCTCCTCTCCTCATCTCTTGCCACTTTCCTCATCTGTATAATCCTACCTTGTACACAGGCAAAGAACAATAGAAGTTAGAAGCTCCCAAGATATCTGACAAAATCAACAGGTGTTTTTTTGCACCAATGGAACAGATATAACGAATTGCTTTCAGTGGTATATTTAGCAAACCAAACGAGAGCAAATAACAGAAGTTCATTGAGAGGGTTTACATACACTTTAAAGTCGATCCACTCTGAAATTGAAGTATTTCTGTGTTGTACAGAACATCTAGAAGTGTGAATTGTTCCTTTTGTCTGGAATTCTGCCTAAAAAATAGCAGTGCTCTTCCTGGTATGTGAGTGTGCCTGAAGCCTCAAAGTTGTATATCTACGGTGTGAGATCTCAGGCACTGCTGCCTCTGACTTTTTGTCTCAGGAGATTTGCAGTAAGATTTGGTGATATCATTACTGTGCTGCTCTTTGTTCTCCTTGGTGGAGTCCTGCCTCTGCCAAGATGGCCGCATCCTTACAACAGCACAGTGCAGAACAAGGCATAATGCATCAGACTGCAGGGAGACCACAAGAATGTTTGGTGACTAGTCCTTTGCCCCCTGCCTGAATTTTCGTGCACAGCTTCCACGGTACAGATCCTACTTATAGCACGAGTAAAAATCTGATAGAAATTCTAACCCTTCACCACTCTCTTAAAATTATAATGCTATGAAAAGCTATTCAAGAGAAAACGCTACTCCAGGCTTCCTCCAGTACTGATCATGTGACCAAAAGCCTAAGAATTTTGCCATGTGATTTCTGCTGGGGAGGATCAGCCAATCTGAACGGGTTCTTCTCTTCCCTTACCCTTTGTTCATCCATCCCAGCAAAACTGTTACCGTAAGTTTAGGTCCAGTTACAAATAAAAGAGAGCAATTCCTGAATTCTTCCAGAGCCCAGAAGGATTGACATTGTGCACTGACGTGAATAGAATCCCTAACAGCTTGGCAATTAGCATAACCTGCATGAGGACAAACCACAGAGGTGGAAGGACCATCCGGCATCCTGACACCTCTCCAGCCCTCTGGCATGTGGGAGACCAAAGAAAGCATATCATGTTCTACTGCATTAGACCAGTATTAAGTCAAATGCCATTACATCAGTGCTAATTGTGACCTCTCCTTGTAGGAATGCTATTTGTCTGGCTTTCTTACTGATTCTTTTGTTTAAAAGGATTCTAAAGAATCAAAACGTCCCACTATTAAAATTAATTTTTGAAATGTTTACATTAAGTTAGAACTAAAGCCAAAACTTTTTTTTTTTCAATCTATGTCCCATTGGGGAGATTTCACTTCCTGTCCGATAGCACAAAAGAAAATGAGAGGAAATCCCTCCACGGAAAAGGAAATCCCTGGTGTCCCCATTGGAAGATTTCCCATCGTTTCCTGTTTTGATGACAACCCAAAATTTGGGATTTTCTTCCACTTTCAGTGATAACGTTCAGCAGGACAAATCGAGAGGGTGAATTTCCCTGATGGGGACACAGACAGCAATAAAAAAACCTGACAGGTTCTAATCCCTCACAAGTCTATCCAAAACTAAAAAAAAATATTTTGGCATCAGTTGCGGATTTTGGCATTCCAGGTTCTAAATATGAACCATATACCCGTCACCTACGCATATTAATTAGAATTTTTTTAAAAGGCTGTGGTATTACTTGGTGCATGAAAGGGGAAAGGCAACGTTTGGTGTAGGTCCCGCACCCAGAGGTGGGCTTCTAGAAGTGGGTCCTCCTCATTTAATTTAACGTTCTCACTTTTTCTCTGCTTCCACAAAAGAATATTGTGGAAAATATAATTCTACTACTGAAGAGTAATACAAAATTTAGATGAATAAGCGCCTCCTTATATATACAGATTTCTATGCTGTCACTTACCATCAATGAGGTATCCCTTTGTGCTTCATTTGCCAGTGAAGCTCAGTAAGCTGGAGCATGTAATTGGTTATGACTTTTCAGAAACCAATCTAGCCGAGACTGCATGGACAGATCCAAACAAATGAGATAAATATATCGTTCCTTGGTACTTCTAATTTCTGGTCTGTAAAGTCTCTAAAACTTACAGGGTTATCACAAAAGGGTGAAGAGTTTGGAGAAGGCAGGTGAAGTGAACAATCTAGGCCAAAGTAGCTGATTTGGAAAAATTCTCCTATTCAGTTCACTTTCCAGCTCAGCTATTCTGTCCTAGATTGTTCACGTCTCTTGCCTTCTCCAAACCCTTCACCCTTTTGTGAATAGCCCTGTTAGTGTTAATGTGAGTAACGTTGTTAGATTTAGAGCATCCCTGGTTGTCGGACAGAGAAGATAATGATGATTTGGACAGATGATTTGCACTACAAGGTTGGCTGTAAAAAATACAAATGATCCCTTGATGGGTCATTCATCTTATCTCCTTATTGTTCTCATTTGGTTCACATTATAAATAGCGATGTAGTAATGATAGCCTTTTTAAATGATAAAAAAATCGAAAACTCCCCGTAGCTTCAACCAGAGTTAACCAGTTTGTAATAGTTGAATTTCCAGTTAATGGTAGAATATTTTTAGAATATTTTTTTTCATTTTTTTTAATTATATGTTTCTTGATGTACTTTGATGAGGAATCATCAATGATCCTGGAAAAATAGTGAGTTAGATACTGTCTTACTGTGTTATGTCAGTAAGAAGTTGAATTTGACCTGCATTAGATACACTGGCTATTCCAAGATCCCTACTTTCCCCTCTGATCTTGGTTTTACTTTGTTGTTCCAAAGTATATCCAAAGACAGAACTTTTTCTTTAATTTGGACAGAGTGCTGAAACCTGGTGTTTTATTGCTGTCTGTTAACCCACTGGGGACAATCCTCATCTTTAGTTCTCCCAGTCACTATTGTCACCATAATAGAATGTGATGGAAAACCCAAGAGAGGTGAGGAGGAACTTTTTAAAGTTGTCCAATGACAACTGTCTAAAAGGGAATTTTCCCTTCACTTTGGAGAGGGCTTCTCCTCTGAGTAGCGCCTCCTCTCCTTTGTGCTTCCAGGACAAGGAAATCTCCCTAATAGGACACAGAAAGGAAAACACTGACAGGAGTTTAACCATTCACTCCTTTATCTAGAACTAAAAACAAGGTTTGGCCCTCTTGCGCTATATAAGAATGCACTCATTGGCCACTGATGTGCTTTTATTTACTAGTGGGAAGTGCTAGTTGAGGCTTAGCACCAGAAGCATGGGTCAGCCCTTTATAACTACGAAAAACCAGGATTAGAGGCACAAATAGAAGAAACCTTTTTAGCTAACAGTTGAAATATCAGACACCCTGTGATGCCTGCTCTTAGGCAAGTTTTTGAATGTTAAACATGGCTAACTGGGCCAATCCCCCGAAAATTAATCATGCCACTCCACTATAATTCCTGTAATGATGTAAAAAGATCCTGGGTCAATCATTCTTTTGGCTTTTATTGCATGATACATGAAATAGGATTTGGGAAAATGTTGAAAAAAAAAAAAAAAGCCTGGAATTTGATGAGTTTGTTATAGATTCATATGAGTGCCTCATTTTCATATATTTAATTTAGTGACTATACTAATCTTCGGTATACGGTTTCCAGAAAATCTTAATTTTGTTTGCGTGCCTCCTGGCTCTATGTTACTATGTCTATTAAAACCTCATTGTGAGTTCATTTGCTGCTCTGATCTCTGATTAACACACTCCTTGAAGCACCTCGGTACAAGAGAAATAAACATGCTGGGGGTTCTTAACAAGAGAGAAACAATTACCTGTGCTTGCTCTGTTTCTGTAATTCTCTTAGAAAGTGTAGGTGTCACATATGAAGGCTTTGTGCAACAAATGTGTTTCAACATATCTATGATTGTGTTGGAAAACCTTTCACAATGGCATGGTCTGTTGTTTACTGAAATATAATTAGTTCTCCAGTTCCCACAGGCCTCGCTTAAAGCAGAAGCAGAAGATATTAGATGCCTAATACCCCATTAAGAACCGACCTCAAAGCCATTATATAGCTGGTCGTGATACTATGATAGCAGTAGAAGACCTATGTCCCTCATGCTACCAATGGCAAATAGTCTATAACAGCGGTCGCCAACCTTTCAGACCTCATGGACCACTAACTTGCCAGCAGTAGAAATATGCAAAAAAAAAAGTTTAATTATACTTTAAGTCTTTTACAATCTTACACACTTAAAATACAATTATGTTATATAATGATTGATGCACCAGCAGCATTATTGCTTGCAGAAAGCAGCCACGCCAAATGATCATTTTAATTAACAAACAAATTATCAAAAAGGGGTGATCTGTTCTGCTGGGCAGTCCAGTAAAAAATGTTTTCACTTCATTGCATTGAATACATGTTTTTGAAAAAGAGGTGTTGGAAATGAGTGAATCTATGATAGATTGTTAGGCGTTATGTGCATGGAAAGCATGACGGGGTCTGTAAATCACAATTTGTGTATAGCAGTTAAATGAAGAACAGTTAATCAGAAGAATAACGCTATGTTTTTGTGTTTTACAGCTGTGTTGGTGTAGAGGAAGATGAAGCGCCAGACATCGACATCTATCACTGTCCAAACTGTGAAAAAACCCATGGCAAGTCTACATGTGAGTGCCCACTGATTGTTCTGTGTACAAGTGCAAGCAATTCACTGTTCAGAGATTGCCAGTGTGTTCATAGAAAACACTGAACTGTGTAAAGCGGATCTTGCATGAGAACATTACAGTCACCTAGGATAATAGACTAAGGCAAATGTGTAAAGACATTGCCTGATAATATATATGTATTCACTGTAGAGCCCAGTGCTGCCCACTGCATGTTGTGATTCCTCCTGGCACTGTATAGACAATAATTCTGCCATCTTCCGGTTTGGCAGGTCAGGTGATGTGCGATTTAAGCAGATTGACTGCCTAGCCCTGTCAGCATGGAGAGCTGTGTGTGTGAAGACTCACATGGCTGCAGAGGAAGCAATTTCTTTACACAGTCCAAGACCCTTTTTACACCGGTGGGAGCACATTATGGTGCTTATAACACACACTGGTATCCGGTGTGCACCCGCACTCCAATGCCTTGTACAAAGGTATTACAGTGTTTACTTTCTTTTTAAACGTTTTTGAAAGTTAATAAAACCTCTTCATTTCACTCTATGCACATTGCAACATGCTGACGTGCATTTTAACACATTTTGGTACGTTGCACTGGATTGCATTGCAGTCGGCTCACTTTGATGTGGGGCAGTGCGATCGGCTGCAAGGAAACATGTGGCCATTAATGCCTATGTTCCAGTCCGGTCAGAAAAAATAGTGCTTGCAGCATTTTTTCTGACTGGACCGGACCACAGGCATTGATGTGCTTTGCGTTCCCGTGCGGCAGATCGCATTGCAGCCGGAGGGTGTGGCTATGGTGCCATTCACTTCAATGCACCGCCCCACTCCACAACAAAGTGAGCTGGCCACAATGCGGTCCAGTGCGTTACGGCCAGAATCAGGCAGGAACGCACTGTGGCTGGTGTGAACTAGCCCTTACTATTAACAAAAATGTATCTTATCTGTGTATTACTCAACTGCAGATCCTCAAATCATCTCTGAATTGGTGCTGGCACTGCCCTTCCTTCTGGAGGGTGACTACTTTTGTTCCCCATGGTCCCTGTGTGTTGTAAAGTAGCCACCGCTCCAAGCTCACTCCCATGATGGACTACAATCTCAATACAAATTGGTAAACTAAACGTAAGATTGTAGTCAGCGAAGATCAATGCAGTTCAGCACACTTGAGCTGAGCCCTAAGACTGCACACATTAAGAATCTCACGTAGGCTGAATGAGAGAAATCATTCGAATTCCCCTTCCACGCTAAACAGTCTGCTCTGAGGAGCCGCTGCATCCGTATTTTGGCTGTAGCTCCCTATGAAGCCCCCCTAACAATGTCACAGGCTTGCACTATGTTGACTCTGGCTGTACGTGGGAATAGTCGCTTACCTGAGTGGCAGCAAGAGCTTGTTCTGTCAATAGTGGCAAATCTCCTATCACAGCTCGTATACAGGACCAGAGGGTGTAGGCATTCTGAACGTGCATTCAGCTGTGATCCTTCTGGGGCTGCTGACATCAGAGTCAAGGTGGGGGCACCCAGCAGCAGAATTCATGCATTTTGTTAGCAATGGCTGAAGGCACCTTTCTGAGCAAACAACAGGCTTGGTGGTATTTTGGGGAAAACAATTAGTTGAGTGTTACAAAATAGGTGTGAACATCATGGAGACAGGGTCTCTTTAAAAAGGGATATTGAAAACACCTACCCATGTTGATCATAAAGAGGAACCTTGGACAGAAGTGTACTTTACCCCTGCAATGGGGTTACCCCTTCACTGCAAGGGTTAATTGCTCATTTTCATTTAAGGTGTAAAATAAAAACAGATATTGTCACCCGAACCTTGGACTGGCCTGGCTGCTAGACCAGTCCCTTAAGCATCTCTCCTCCTCCTCTCTGACGATAGCATGTCCCTAGGCGTCCTCACCTCCAATTCACTGTACTGGACGTTATGACTCACAGGTTCTTAGACCGCCAGAGCGGAAAGGGAGCAAGGTTGCAGGGACTGCTTCTAACAGGCAGGTGGGTCTGAGGTTCGGGTGAGTATATCTTTTTTTTTTTTTTACACCCTAGGCGAAATTGAGCACATAACCCTTGCAGTGTGTGGGTAGCCTTACTGCAAGAGTCAAGTTTACTTCTGTCCATAGTACATCTTTAATGTTACTAGGGATGCAACAACTAATTGATTATAATCGATAATGAGAATCATTGGCAACTATTCTCATGATTGATTAGTTGCTTTTCGATTAGTTGCCGCCGCTTTGCTCCTCTGTTCTCCCTGCTGGTGCCGGCTGCTGCGGTCTGTGTCCCTTTCAATCCCCGCTGCTTTCCCCGCCTGTATCAGCAGACGCAGTGGGGGGGGCAGACCACTGAGGCCGGCACCAGCGGGGAGGAGAGACCGCTGTGACTGCATCCCCTCGCTTCCCCCCTGTACCTCCGCTGCTGCCCCGGTTCTTCTCTGCTCCCTGTGCCTTGGCTGCTGACCCGTGCCTCCTCTTCCCGCCCCATTCCTCCTCTGCCACGCCCCATTCCTCCTCTGCCCCGCCCCCGTGCCTCCACTGCCGCCCCGTTCCTCCTCTGCATCTACAGCCTGCTATTGGATATTTTAAAATGCAATAGCCAATAGCAGGCTGGCAGAGGAGCAGCCTCTGCTGATTGACAGCAGGCAGTGGGCAGGTGCAAAAGCCAGCCTGCCATTGGCTTTTGCAAATTGAAATATCCAATACCAGGCTGGCTATTGCTCCAAGAAATAAAGTAAAAAAAAAGTTTAAAAAAATAAAGTTAAACTAAAATTAAAAAGACTAAAAAATGTAAAAAGCAAAAAAATAAATAAATACATTAAACACGCAAACAAATAATACATTTTTTAAATTAAGTTAAATAAACTAAAATTAAAAATAGAAAACATTTAAATGTCTACTATAAGGCCTCAATCACACAAGAAAAGGCCGGCATGTACAGCTCCGTGCACGGCCGTATCGGGCAGCTCTCGGGAAGGACAGGTGCTGTGTATGTGATTAGTACGCAGCCCCTGTCCTTCTCTATGGGAGTGTAAGGCCGTACGCCGCCCTACGCTCACCTCAATTGCAGGTCCGTGCAGGTGGGGGTGAGCCTACGCTAACAGGATGGATTCTGTCCGAGCCGCACCCGTACGGACCTGCACTTGAGGTGAGCGTAGGGCGGCGTACAGCCGCACACTCCCATAGAGAAGGACAGGGTCTGCGTACTAATCACACACGCAGCACCTGTCCTTCCCGTGAGCTGCCCGATACGGCCGTACACGCAGCACAGAGCTGTATGTGCCGGCCTTTTCTCGTGTGAATGAGGCCTTATACATCAATTATTCAAAAAACATATATATAAAAAGGTGGGAAAAGTCATTTTCAGTTTCGGTTTCAATTTTGCTGCAGGAGGTGCGTTGCGGTGCCATTCATTTCAATGGATCCCAAATGCACCTCCCGTCGGCAGTGGAATCGCCTGCACTGGAATGTGCGGTACTACAATGCCCTGCGTTCCACTGCAGTGTGATTTCAAAAAATGTGCATACCGTAAACACCTGGTCTTCAAGTGGTTAATATCGCTTTTAAAAATAAGTCAACTATTACAAAAAGTAGCTTGAAGTGTGTGCTTGTGGAATATGTACTAGAGTTGTATTCTGTGACGTGGAGAAATACTCCACGGCAATGACTATGCGGAATATGAGCTGAATGTACCAGTTAGCATGGAAGCTAGCACTAGACCTGTCTGCTTTATTTACGTCTCCGTGCGATAATGCGATGAGACATTGTCAATGACATTCTCGCTACTGTAGAATATGTTTGCACTTTGTCGGCAGATTTTCTCACTTTTTCCCTCCACACGGAAAGAGGCATTGTGTAGAGATCAGTGGAGACACAGTGGTCCTGTCACTAAGAAATGTAACCCGCTATTAACATGTGATAGATACTGATCCATACCAAATTCCTTCCAGCTCTCAGAGATAGTAAACATGTACTTTAAATGGCATGCTCAGTGCTCTGTGGTGACAAGTGAGTGCGGCTGAAGCTGGCCATAGGACAGGTTCACACCATTTTCCGGACCAGACCTGGTCCAGAAAATGGTGTGAACCTGCCACAGTTCCAGTGCATTCCAGACAAGACAAAATAGGACAAGCAGTATTTTTCTTGTCTGGTCTGGAACAGACTGCGCTGGTGTGAACAGAGGCCAGAAATAGCATTAGGATACATTAAGATGCATTTTGGGTCTGGAAACAATCTGGTCTGGTCTGGAGATGATCCGGATGTGGTGTGAATGGGCCCATACACATTAGAATTTTTCGGTATTCTCTGCTGGCTATTGTATTCTTAAAGCTGGTACCCGCTGCTGTCAGAATACCAGCTGATTGGCTGCAGACACAATTCAGCTGACCATTTTTTGATCTCTCTTGCTGGCTATTGTATTCTTAAAGCTGGAGCCCTCGGCTGTCAAAATACCAGCTGATTGGCTGCAGACACAATTCAGCCGACCATTTTTTGATCTCTCCTGCTGGCTATTGTATTCTTAAAGTTGGTGCCCCCGGCTGTCAAAATACCAGCTGATTGGCTGCAGTCACTATTCGGCAGACAAACTTTAGATCTCCCCTGCCAGCTATTGTATTATTGAAGCTGGAGCCCTCGGCTGTCAAAATACCAGCTGAATGGCTGCAGTCACTATTCGGGTGACAATCTGTCAATCTCCGACAATTTTCTACCCAGCCCCTTTGCCAAAAATCAATTGTAAAATGGACTTTTGTCGAGAGAGGTGATCCCGGCAGGGCCACCCACAGACCGAATTTCGGCCTGTTCAGCATTAAATGGACGAAACTTAGTCAGTGTATGACCAGCAGCACCATTGGGTGTTGACACAGAGTACATCGCCATTATACAGACAGTCAATGCATAAGAAATTATGATCAGTGGTACAGAAGGATTTTATATTACCGTAAGTAAAGATCCACCTCGGCTAGAATTGCACATAGAACTCCAGACCCAGTTGGCCAACTCACTTCA